CTAAATGAAACTTCAAGCAATAATTTTTAATTAAAAGGCATTTTATTGTTAAGCACCGATTAAGTGAAATGAAAACAAAATGAAATACGTTAAGTGGACTTTCTAGAAAACGTTAAACGCTTGTGGACCGAAGTATGGAACGAAAATAATCATATATGGATAATAATATTCGACGTTGTTCGATAAAATTTTCTAGTTTTCCAGGCAACGCTCTATAAATCTCGTGCTATAAAAATGTTACTCTTTTTCTGATTTTCTGAAAATTGCATGACATAGTTTTCGAAGGCTTCGCTTGAAATTAGCGAACGGGCGCCAATACAATGCGCGTGGCCTCGTGGCAATGTGGTATAAATAACCAATTTTATTGATAAAATCCGGTCGTTCTTTTTGCATCGTAGTTGTCTCCCTACGGTATGGTACGAAGGTAGATTAAGTTTGTGCGAATGTATGCAACACATAGAAGGGCTTGAGATAGACTTAACTTTCATTCTACCGGTCGATTCAGCATCACTTTCTGAATTTAATCTAAACTTGTCCGTCCCTATGTCCGACTTGTTTTCTTAGATTTAACCTGCAGGCAGCAATTTTTTCAGATATTATGATAAAAATTGGTACACCGGCATGTTTTAGCCCAACGACGACCGCGTTTAAAAATGATTCGGATCGTTCCATTTTTTCGTCATCGCTTTATTTGGAAAAGTCTTCATATATGTAACTGTACGAAGCAAAGCCTTGTGGGATATTTATTGATCGACCATGTCCAACTATATTCTCTTCATTTAATAATTTGCCAGGTTTCCGAACGGCGAATAATCTTATAATGCGCGGTAGCTTTTTCACTTCATTGAGCGCATATTTGACGTCTTAAATTAGAAATTGCATTGTGTTCGTTACTCGTGGCACATCGTTTCGAACGGATCAGATGTGATCAGGGACCTGATATTCAAAATTATGTAGAACAAGTTCTAATATATATGTGCACTTTACAATATATTTAATGTTCTTGTACAAAGCAATATATCGACTAGACACACATTTGAATGAATAAAGGAGTATGATGTCTTTGTGAAATACAAAGCAAGTGTCAAAACAATTTCCACCAAATTGTTGTAGCCAGTTTTACTGCTGAAAATATTCAAGTCACCTGGCGATGTCGCAGTTGCTTACCCCACTTCGCTTGAGGAGTTGTTAGAAAACTTTTAACAACTGAAATTATTCTAAACATGAAAATCTGTGTGTCCGCAACTTCAAATCTCAATGGGGTACAGTTTACTATGATCGTTGTTGGCAAAGGCGTAACACTTAACAACTGGGCACACATTCAATAGGCTGCGGCCCCTTCCCTACATCTTTCTCTTTTCTCACTTTTCCTGATCGTCACTATAGTGCTCTAATTGAGGACATGCCCAGACTGATTGGTCATATAATAAAATAACAAGAAGAAAGTGTCTTATTGTTAAACAAAGAACTCTTCATAAGCCTATAGAATACGTATAATTTTGTCGTGAAAAAATTGTTAAGTAAAAGCGTAGATTTATTTTTTTCACGCAATATTGTGCGATAGAGTTGAACAACTCCGAGCATTTTCAACAAACCCGCAGGTACAGTTAACCTAATATTTCTTCTGGTATTTTGCGTCCAAGTAAAGATCTCAGAATTGAAACTAGAATTAGAAGATTCCAGTCACTGCACGTGGCCTAATACTCTTTGCTCAACGTCAAAATTACGTGAAAGCTGACTTGTGCTACCGCTTGATAATACATACGACCGATGTGTTTTAATTTTGGTTTTGAAATTGAACTGTGCTTTCAATAATATATATATTTTAAATTCTCCCATACAATATTTTATAAAACTCTTTTTATATGACTGTCTGTATTGGCAGACATATATAGCATATAATAAAATTTTATAATATTATATATATCACGTTTAAGCTATATAAATGAAATCATGGCATACTTTTAAGCGTACAATCTTAGAGTTTGATGTAATATTCTCTAATTTCGAAATTTAAACTTTAAATAAAATTAGTTGCAGAGAAATGAAAAGTGTGCGACTCTAATACCTAAAAAATTAAAATTCCCAAAACCTGATATCTCATGCATAGAATGCAGATGGTATGATATATCTCTGCATATTTCCATGGATGAATAAAACTGTTAATATATGATCTGAGCTTAAATGAATTCGTTTGATTTAAAATTTCCACATACGAAGGTCAACTGAAAAGTTTCCGACCTAATGAAAAAATTGCTTACAAAATTCTATTTTAACTTCCTTCGAGAATGATACAATCAGTCTAATGGTTTTCTAACCTGTACATACATTTTTATTCATTTGTTTTAAACGATTTGTCAAGAGTTAGCGAAATACGCTGCAGATTTCAAACCGATATTGCTGGAGGTTCGATGTACAATATATTTTAGATGTGGCAACATATCGAATCTCAGTTCATGCAATTGCGTCACTCTAATCGTTGACGTTTCAGTGCGAGCAAATGCAGTAAACCAAGTGCATCATTCTTCTTATGCTCAGACACGCACACAGCCCTCGCTATCCCTCCAGACCAGATTAAACGATTGTACAGCATTATTTAGCAAAGTTTATCGAGGTTTTCGTCAGTGGTTACAAATTTTCGCGAATTCCTCATCCAAACCTTTACGGCCGTGCTTTAATTTCGGCAAGTCAAGCCTTGACCGTGGTAAACGATGGCGAGAGTATCGGTATTTTGCCTTCCCAAAACGAAATAATTAACTACATCCCGTTATTAAATCTGTTTCATACCTATAAACATACACACATCGACTTACTCAAACGAAACGATTCTCAAACCATAAGTGCGCGTCCAAAAAGGCTGAAATTTTACTTCACCATTGTGCCATTTTCATGTTCACGACAGAAGCTTTTTACACGACCTACCTAAAGCTGATTTATATTTCTCTTTTTACACCCATCTCCGGAAGACGATATAATAAATTTATCAAAATATTTGCGACACTCAGAACGAAGCTTTAGGTATTTCATTAGCTGTATATATTCCTGATTAGCATTAAATTTTTGAACATGTCCACCTGTCTGTCTGTCTGTCTGTCTGTCTATATAATGTCTGTGGCAAACGTCCTCCTGGCCGCAACGAAGAACCAATCTGCTTCGAGGTCAAATCGGTCAAAGGATACGCCCACAAGACAGCATAACCTGAATCCACCTTTGTTTTCAAAAACAAGAGAAATGTGGTTTGTTACTCGTTACTTATAAACCGCAACAGATGTAATGGCAAAATTTTGCATTATTTGTAGTATTTGTATTTGTATAATCCTGCAGCACCTGTACAAATATGTGAAAAAATCGCGTACGCTTACGCAATGTCAGAGAGAGTGAAAATTTCATTTGTTTACCAAACCGCTTACAGCATCTAGAGAAAAGCTTCGCAGAGACACTAGTAAGTCCACATATTATTGATTAGGATTAAGTGTAAGTCGTTCTACACATGTCTGTTAGTCCGTCTATCCATCTATTTGTTAATTACTGCGGTAAACGTATTCTTGGACGTAAGAATCAAAGTATCCGTTTCAGATATATAATATATGAATTTCCACTTTTATCGTATAAAAGTAGAAAAGATCAGCCACCCTTACCCAACGTTTCAGAATGCGAAAGTCTTTTTTAGAACAACTGTGATAGATATAAGAGATGCGGTCGCAGGCGAATATGATTTCGTTTTTTAAACATTGTTACCAAATAAAGTGAAGAAAATAAATAAGGTTAGGTATAAATTTTAAACATCGAAGCATTGTTTTTAGCTGGAAAAACTACTTAATGTGTTTATAAATATTTATGAGAATACTTCCGTCTCCTATTACAGCTTATCTTTACTAAAGATTTTCTTAATTTACTTATACAACAATGTATCCTTGTTGTAGCACAACTGTATTACCGATGCCTGCTTGCAAATGTGGAGACATTTAAAACTTAATGGTGTAATCTTAATATTCTCTGAATACATTTACGTGTATCTATAGACATAACATACAACATATGTTTAAAAGCCTCATAAAATAAACAAATTTGAGTATAGGATAGACGCAAAATATTTGCAGGCGTGTTTGTGTGCGTGTTCTCACAGCGACATTCATTCGAAACGGAATTGTTTAAGTAAAGTCTCAAAGTTGTGCAAAGTGTACAAAATAAAACTTTGTCTCCTACAACCATTTTATGCTTTTCAATATGAACTGTTGACGATAAAGCGTTGAGTTCCTTTTCTTTTTGTTTGTGTTTACTTTCCGTTCTTTTTTTTTTTTTACGCATATGTTCAATTTTTATATGTAATTGTGTAGAAAGAATTAGTTAGCAGATGCTATAACAATTTTTAAAAATTAATTAAATAATTGAGAAAAAAAAATTATTTTGAAAACTTATTGAAGTAGAACTAAAGGACGGTTTTCTATTATTCCTTTTCTTTTTTTAATTAAATTTAGTACACTTTTTCAAAGCTTAAGAAAGAATAAGCGGAAACAATATAATGTGTGACGGACCACCATTAGATACCATACGCCATCCTATAGTTATACACATTTCGATTTTTTAAATTAGGGCATTATATGAGAAGTGGTCGATAATGTGATCTGATCCGAACCATTTTCCAATAGTGTTCGTCCCTGGGCTTAAGATACGTCGTCGGTGTATCAAATAATATGAAACCCACAAGAAGGACAGGGGGACAAATAGATAAGCGTCACCCAAAATTCGGAAATTGATTCTGAATCGATGAGTATAATAAAAGTTGGCTCTATCGCAAGTCCTCTTTTATGTAGCAAACATCCGCACAAACTTAATATTATTAATATAAACTTTCCAACACAGGCAGGCAAATATACTAAATCTGCTTATATCATCAAATATTAAAATTTATTCCATTAAAAAAACGAGATGAAAATAAAAGCTATTAAAATGCCTAAAAATATGCTTTACATTTATAAGAAATATCCGCTTAACTTCAGATGAATTTTGCGAGGAATATCCCCATAACTTAATGCCTACTCCGGGCTATTGGGTGGAATGTTCTCGTCAAAAAATCGCTTTACCACCCGCACACACTATTTGGGATGAAAGTGACTCGGAACATGAGGATATGCGTGGGACAAGTTCTAGTGAGGCTCACGTGGACCGAGAATGTAACGATTTGTATGAGGATGACGAAGACTCCGAAGCTACGCCTAGGTAAAGAATTCCTTTTCTCTTGATTTGGATTTTGAAATTAAATTCGTATCACACCTCAAATAATCAATTTATGTTTGTTTGATTGCTTTCCTTCAGTCCTCGAAAGAAGACTACAATTGAAGAACAATGGGAACAAAATGGCTGCTTTGAACTTATCTCTGTCGAACAAGAAACGTACGAGAAGTATTTTTACGGCACCGAACATTGGAATTATTTCACCAGCGACGAAGACCTCGGTCCGGTGATTTTATCAATTAAACAAGAGACCCTAAATGGACGAGATCAGTTTCGTATATTAGTTAGAGCTGGTTCATATACTGTACACGGTCTTATACCTGCCTCTTGTGTATTCGCTGATAGGTAATCACAAAGGCATACGAAAATCAAGATTCAAATAAAAATAATTGAAAATAATTTTCTAATAGATATAATCGGGAGGAAGTAGTTAGATCCCTAGGTAAAGAAGTTAACCTAAATCCTCCTCTAACTTTAGGCCAATTGCCAGACACGCCGGAAGAGTTACTAAAATTAGATCAAGTAAGTATTAGTCAAAAAGGAGTAAAATGAGTTGTAAAACTCTCCTGTGTCATTTCCACGAACGACATGGCACAAAAAACGAAGAAAACATTTCTTCCCGAAGACATAAACATACGTTCAAAATTTCACTTGTAGTCTTATAGGTTGTTACTTTAAAACTCTCAACAATAAATTAACCGAATGATAGAACACAGGAGGACGAAAAGATGAACAGGTAAAATGGGGGGCGGTGTAAAAGGCAGATAAGCTAGTGGGTAGATAAAAAAAAAACGGATATTTGCTTGGATAGATGGGCTGGACAATGGAGTAGCGAAAATACGGAAAGACGGGTGGACGAGTGAACGGGGCAACGGGCAGGCCTGACAAAGAATGGGCATGGCAAAGGATGAGCAAACCGGAAAATGGTAAATGAACAATCAGGTCGTAAGACGAAAAAGTGGGGGAAGGTGAAGACAAATAGTGGACAACACCTAAGGAAAAATAACTCGAAGATTGTAAAAGTAAACTGACAAACAGACCCGAGGGTCCGAGAAAAAAAACGGAAACGTGGTTGGGAAGGGAAGCGAGGAGGTAGAGGGACGTGGGCCGAAGAATCCATTGACTGAAACACAGGCCGAGCAAAACGTCGACAAGATAACGGGCGTATAAACCGAAAAAAGCGAATAATAGACAGAATAAACGAAGAAAAGAGCTGCATACGGACATAGGAGCTGTAGATCAAAAAGACGGGCATGCACTCAGGCCCTATGAACAGCGGCAGGGGAAGCGGAATGAAGAAAGGACGAAAAGAATTACACATCAGAGTAAGGTAAACGGAATTTTTATTTATTGGCCTATAAATGGCATTGCTCGGGAAATTTTCAATCGATTTCTGTCATTTTTACTAACTTATAACAATTGTTGATAACGTTTTCTTTTCATAATGAATTTTATGAATTTTTCATTAAAAAATGTATATTTAAAAATAGGTTTTTATAAAATCTGAACTAAAAGTTGGGGTCATATATGTAAAGGAGGACCAATATACGGAAGAGCAAATATTAGACAATAATGAAAATTCACTATTATTTGATGAGTTTCTAACACTGTTGGGTGATCGTGTTAGATTAAAGGGTTTCGATAAATACAAAGGTGGCCTTGATACAGTACATGATTTAACAGGTAAAATATATCTTAAATATAAACACAAACACAATTGTATAAAAGAATTTATCGCCCATCACTATAGGATTGTACTCGGTTTATACCAATTGGCGTAGCATTGAGATAATGTTTCATGTTTCAACGCTACTCCCTTATGAGAAGCATGATCCACAGAAGTTGCAAAGGAAACGGCATATAGGTAACGATATTGTATGCGTGGTATTCTTAGAAGCTGATAACACCAGATTCAGTCCGGCCTGTATAAAAAGTCATTTTCTACATACATTCATATTGGTGAGAGTGTCAGCCAGAATAAAACATAAACCCACCCGTTATGAAGTATCGGTGGTTACAAGGGACGAAGTGGGCGCCTACAAACCTTATCTTTGGGAGCAATCGGTCTTTGAAAAGGGACCAATGTTCAGGTGGGTTACATTGTAATTAATAATGATCCTTGTCTTGTTTGTACTAGTTTCTCCTTTAATTGCCTCATTGTAAACGTATACAGAGAATGGCTGCTAACTAAGATAGTGAATGGCGAGCGGGCTTCATATTCGGCACCGAAATTTGCCCGTATGCAAGAACGTACACGTTCACAAATGTTAGAAGATTTGGTTATGAATTTATCAAATCATGCTGAGACAGGACAAATACCAAAACCATATCGTCGTGGCTCTTGGCGACCCATCGGTGAGGATGAATATAGAAAAATGTTGCATGCAAGAGTTTTAGTCACAATGGCAACACCGCCACCACTCACACCTTCATCACCGACCACGGATGTTGAGGGGTGCTGCGGCCGCCTTTATGTGCAACATAGTATGTAAAAAAGGGAGAGACTTTCAAAAATAACCGAAACAACAAAAATGAAAAAAAAAACGTTACATTTATTTTAATAGTAATGAATCCCTAGCCAATCTCCATGCACATGCCCTCTATGTATGTATGTATGTATGTGTGTCATTGATTATATCTTGTTTGATTGCAGTTATTTATTACAACATCCTACTCCGCTTGTATTAATGGCGTATTAAACTTGCGTGGATGTATGCAACGTCGACAAGGACTTGACATAGATCCAACTTTTATTTATATCGATCAAACCAAAAATCAAATCATTTTCTGAATCGATTTAATCCCTGATCCGCTAGTCCGTCTGTGGGTCTGATTTCTGTCCAAGCATTTTAACGTTCAACGTACAGATCGCAATTTGCGAGAGATTTCTGATCCGAATCTACATTCGCTTAACGACAAACGCTGCCGAAAAAGGATTAAATCAAAGGAGTTTTACAAACGGCCAACTTCGAAAAATTCGTTACATGAGAAAAATCTGCAGTCTTTAAGATTTCTCAATGAATATGGACAGAAACTAGTAATAGGTTGGCACACTTGTCATGAATATAAGAAATTTGGATGTGATGGCACCAATTTTTTCATTTTTTTTAAGTTATTATATAATGACAACTGGTCCAAAATAGTGTTTTGTTAGATATACATTTTCGATACCCCTCTCCCACAGAAGGAAAATATACTTCATGTAGCAGCACAATTTGTTGAACAAAAATTTGTCAAAAGCAGTTACATGACATCTGAACCAGCTGTACTACTAAGTAAGTTTGTATCATAAAAGCCTATATTTTTCTTTCCCCCTTTCTAATGAAAAGGTAAATGTATTAAGCGATGTAGTGTGGAGCATATAATGATCGGCTTTACCTGACTTAGCGCTTTCACGTACCATTATTACTATTGGTTATGGCCGCAAACACTATTTCATGTTCTTTTTTGTTTGTCATTCCCTTATATACTCATAGCTTGAAGCAAGGAAAAATGCCTTTATTTTTTTATAAGTAGATAGATATGTGTATTCCTAAATGCTTTAATCAAATTTTATTCATATGATTTCATTCTTTTTATTTTTGTCCTTTTTTTATTTCTTCTCTGAGTAGATCTTCGATAAACATATGATTAATGAGCTGAATGCAAAAGGAACGTAAAAGTAAAAATCTTGAAAATTTCACAAGAAATGCTTGCTATGCGCTTCTAGTAGTCCTATTAAAAAATGACAAATTATCTTGAAATTTGCATTGTTCTGCAAACAAATATTCATCTTAGACATAATGCCACGTCTTTTAATGTATTCGATCGGTCTCTCAAACTTAAGCGATTTATAAGAGAAATGGCTCAGAATATTTCGGCGTAGTTTGGAACTGCACATACATTTCAAGTGATATATCCGCGTCATACATACAAGCAGCGATCAAAAAATCAAGAAGGCCTCGAGACAGCACAAAATCTTAGACCGACCGGGCGAATCATATCCATTTTCACTTGCTCAGCAACGTTGTACAACCTGCTTGAACTTACTCGAAAGAAAAGACACTGACATAACCAATTTTGAATTTCTCGCTCATCACAATATATATGAAATACTTCTAACGTTCCCTTCTGGTTATTGCAAGAGGAATGACGTGTCTAGGCTTTGAATTAAAATTTGCGTGATTTGCGCTGCTGCTTATCTTTTGAAACAATTCAAACTATATCGCTTCGATCGATCGTTGTAAGTAAGAATTGAATGACGCAAGGATTTTGCTGTGGATGCATTTTCGCCTTGATTACTTCGGTCAGTTTCGTCGTTTACCCACGATTGATGAAAGATGTAAAGAATCTTCCATAAGCGAATCAACAACATTATCCATGATAAACACACACTCTCTCACACACTCACTTGCAATTTGGCAGAAAACCGTGAAAGTTCTTGCACACACGTTGCTATTGGGAACGGGCCCAGTCAGTCAAAGCGCGTGCTCGCAGCTCTGTGTCAAAAGAAAAAATATGGGATTTTCCTTATCGCTCGCTATACCACTACCACTAATAAATATTTTTATAGATGTTTAATTGCAATCCTGCAGTACCAGCCCTATCCCATAGGCTATAAAGTATCGCAATTTAAATTTTCTTGCTTACTTGTGCAACAAAGAGAGTGCGAGTGGAAGATTCGGACACAGCCTAACTAAGATTACTAAAGAAATCTATCCGTATATGCTATCTACTACCGTCTACACTGTGATATCGATTAGTCGAAATTGTCATATAATCGGTGGAAGCAAATAACTCTCAATTCAATAATTAATAAATTGAATCAACATCAAATAATTCGCGGCACTGTTTCCAATATATAACTTAGTGGTCACATAATCGATCCCACCATAAATTGGCTGCATTGGGGCATTGCATACAACCGCACAAAGTTATTATAATATACCCTTGCACCATAAGTGGTGGTGTAGAGTGCGAAAGAAAAAAATCGTTACGATATTTGTTTTAATTCAGCCAAAAGTAATTGCGGTACGAAAATGAGCCACAATTCCAAAGCAAAAACTTTCTTAATTAACATTGTCACTTCGACCGCAACGATATATTTCAGGCTTGGGAAAAAGCCGGTTTATTTAGAAGTTACTTTATCAAACTGAACAATACGCAAATGATGATATACTTGTTAGCGCCAAAAAGACTTTGCGCTCTCGTCAGCTAATCGCTGTTGAAATATAATGCTCCTGATGAAGTAAACACTCACCAAGAAACACTTCGACATCATTCAGATAAACTTGGGTACAGAAAGAAGCTTGATATTTTGGAACCGCACGACTGTGAATTACTGCTGATTGATAACGGGCAATGGAAATCCGGTCACCTACAAGGTGAATAAAGATGCACAAATGGGATTAGAGGCCATATTGACGCCACTTAAAGTAATGCTTTACTACTGGTGAGTTCGGAAGGCAATCATGCATCTCGAGTGGCTCCAGTCTAGCGATACGATAATAATCTACTCTCCACCGTCGAAAATGCGTAAATGCGTTTAAGACGCACAATTGAGATGATGCGTCCAGTAAGCATCGATAGAAATGTGGTTGTCTTCTGTCGAAGCAACGCCAGACGACGCACGTTTTTAAACACTTCGGTTAAAATTGCGAGAACTTGGCTGACAAGATCTAATCCATGCATTATATAATTCGGCTCATCCGTCTACCATTCATTTCGTTCTCTGCAGAACCCTCTTAAATATATCAAAAGTTTGTCAATCAGAACGATACACGTACATAGTTAGATAAAATTAACTGAAATAATATAAGGAAAAGGTATACGGATTTTCATCAAGCGATGACACAAACTTTGCCCTCCGATCTCACGACGATTAACGTTTTGCAATATATGTTTCCTTTACATTTGAATGTTACTCCCTTTAACATACTGGCTGGATGGCATGCTTCATTCATTTCCGTTTTTCTTCATTATCCTTTGTTTTCTTTTTCTTTCCCCATTTTCACTTATGTTACTAAGAAAACTTGAACTTTGTTTAAACTTTAGGACACATGAGGCCTTCTTCGCCACTGTTGGATTCAGTGCGCGATCAATTTGAGGATTACGATCAATTAGCTAAAGATTTTACTAGAGTATTTCTCAATGAAGAACCATCGTGCCTACAAAATTCTCATCTATTTGATGTTGTGTTTCTAGTGGGGCAATCGAAACAGAAAGCCCGCTTTATTGGTGTACGAGCCATACTCGGCGTCAGAAGCCGAGTTTTCCAGGTAAAATCAATTCATGCATTCGCATTCGCATATTATGCGCAGAGTACATATGCATATATATATATATGTTTTTGTAAATAGGAAATGTTATACGGTATACAAACTGGATTCGGTTCACCGCAAATACCAGTTGCAGAAATATTTGCGCGACCGGCGCCTTCATTGGTTTCACCGCAAAATCAAAAGCCAAAGAGTAATAATTATTTAACGGTACCGGATTCGGACACAATGCGACCGAAAAGTGTTCCTTCCTCGCCTATGGTTAAGCGAGCATTTTCACGCTTAGGCACCATCACTGCCGGCTGGGGTAGATCGATACGCAGCAAGAATGCCAATCAACTGAATCCCGAAGATAAGAAGAAATGGATCTCGTCGACAGATTGTTCGAGTAAGAGTTTGAATTTATTGCAAGACAAATATATCGATGTGTGTGTTTTTTCCGAATTTTTCTTGTTTTTTTTTCTATGGTTATTTTCCATCCTTTATATATATATATATATATGTGTGTGTGTAACAAAAAAAAAAAAAAAAAAAAAAAAAAACAATAAAAACACAACAAAATATCATGTGTTTATGCTGTCTCTGCGTGATCCTACATATAACTCGTTGTCTTTCCGGGTATTTGGAAATCGCTAAAAAAACGAAATGTTATTGTAATGAAAACTTATATTAAAACTTCTTCTTCTTCTTTTTTGCCCTTAACTTAACATTTTAACATTTGTTTTGTGTTTTTTTCTGTTCCTTTAAACAAATCCGCACAAACACAATCGATGCTATTCTCTGCATTTCTTTTATTTCAAATTCACTGCATAATCGAAACGAAAAATTTCCCAATTCATTCGAAATGCATTTACTCGTAAATCTTTATTTGTTTTTTTTTTTTTAATATGTCAACAAATTTATTACAAACCACTCACTATTTGCTCACATTAATCGAATATTTTTTTTATAATTTTCCATAATTAATAAAAACAACGATTTTTTTGAACCCGTATGCTTTTAAAAAAAAAATACTTTTTTGTTTATGCGTTTTTAATTTAATTATTACTGTTAACCTTACTTTGAAATTCATGTTACTTAAATTACAAAAAATAATAATAATTATAACAATTTAAAAAAAAAAACACATTTTTTTTTTTTACATTTTTAAAAACTTTTTTTCCGCTAATCTTATTTTGAAATTCATGTTATTTTATTTTAAAAAAAAATTTTTATAATGATAAAAAAACAACATTTTTTTTTACTTATTTTAATTATTTCCGTTTATCTAACAAAAAAAAAATCTAATTTAAAAATGTTTTTTTACATTTACTTTTAAAACTTTTCAAACGCCCCGTTAAATGAAAATTTGAAATGAAAAAACTTTACAATTCACTCATAACATTCTTCATTGACGAAACTCTTATGAGACTTGACGATTTTTTTTTATTCTGTAAAAATGTTTTTGAAAAATTTTATAACAAAACCAAATTTTTTCAAATCCAATTTTCATAATCAAATTTATACATTTTTTTTTTTTCGATTTACTTTTACTAAAAATTTTTGCTTAAATAATTAAATGAATTTTCTTTGTTTACTAAAAAAATAAACCGAAATTTTCGCCAACTTATAACCGTGCAATTGGCGAAAATGTAAAATTATTTTCACCTCAATACTTCTCCGCATCACCCCAACAAAAAAAAACTGCAATTTATTTCTATTATAATGTTTGAATCTTTTGACGCAAATATAATAATTTATTTATATTTTAAAATTTAATATCATCTTATTACCATTGCTGCTCGCACCTATATTTATTCACTTGTTTTTTTTTTTTTTTCGAAATCGACCTCGATAAATGAATTTTTCTCAATTTTTTTTTATTCAAACATTTATATTATCTTACGTTTAAAATTTGAGGAATATAATTTTAATACTCTTGAATTATTTTATATGTACATTTTCGAAAACGAATCCAAAAAAATATTTGAATTTATTATCAATTCTGACACAACGCTAATTATAACTTGCTATAAAATTTATCGTAAAATTTTTTTATTTTTTTTTATGTTAATCATTTTGTGAAATCCACTTCTACTTCACTGCATTACTACCACTTATCTAAATCGTTATCTTATGTGGGCAATCTGATCATATTTATTTATACTTATACTTATCCATTCATGGCTTTTTTTTCTTTAATTTTAAACTTTAATTTATATCACACATATATAATTTTGAAAATAAAAAATGTGGCAAAAAAAAAACAAAAACCTTTAGACAGAGACAGCAAAGAGAAAGATAAGGATAAAGCTACCGCCAATCAATTGGCTGTACCGCGTTTGTCGGTATGTGCCGATGCTCAAAAAGTGGATCGCGCCAAATTGGCTCAGACCGAATTCACTATAATCGAATTTGATCCGGAGACATTTCGTGTTTTGCTCGATTACTTGCATACGGGTACATGTCCTTTGACCTGCGTCTCCATACCAGGTATTTATTGCGTATATATAAAAACAGAAAGAAAGTGATAATTTTAAACGATTTCTTAAATCTCAAATATCTTAGGCCTTCTTTGCGCCGCTGAACATTACGATTTACCCGAGTTGTTACAAGCTTGTTTCCATCATTGCAAGCAATTTATGCGCATTGAGGTTTGTTGCCCTATGCTAATTTCATTGGAGAACTACTACTGGCGTTACACGTCGGCTTCTGAATTAGTTAACATGATCTTATCGTTTGTTGAGAATAAAGCCCACGGCCTCTTCAAGTGCACCGAATTTTTAAATCTTTCCGAATCCATGGTACAAATGATAATGTGTCGCGAATTGCAATGCCCGGAAATACGAAAATTTGAAGCAATGTTGGCCTGGGCTAAATATAAAGTAGCCAAAATGAAAAATCACCCAAGCAAAGACACACAATTCGAATTCGAATGCATTATGGAACGGTTAACGCGCGATTTAAATTTATGCCGCATATCACCAAGCGAACTGCTATCAATAGTTTTGCCTTCGAAAGCGCTGAAGAACGAGCGTATTATGGAAACTTTAATGATGCAAGTGAATTTGGGCACTTATCGAATGCAGGAGTTAGACGAATACCGTCAACAATTACGCAGTCAAGATTCAACTGAGGCGACAGTGCAAGTCCATCGGGGTGGATGAGATAGTAAGAATGTTAGTTTCGATTTTGATAGAGGCACTAGGATAATAATGACGACACGGGGTAGTTCCTCAAAAGCATATGATTCTATGGCTGACGATGAGGTCGAAATGTATGCTAGTTTTGAAGCTACTCCAAGCACAAGTCGTATAGCTGCCCAAATGCAAGCAGCAAAAGATGCTAGACGTAGGCGTTGGGCGGGCGATGGTGCTTCAGCTGGCAACAGTAGTGATGCGGGCAGTAGCAGTGGAGGCGGAGGTGGTAGTGGGTTACGGTAAACGAAATAATGAACAAAAAAGAAATTCAACTCCGACCCCCACTGTTCTTTCTACTACTAAATGACTCAACAAATGTACGAAGGGAAGTGCAAAAATTGGAAAAAAAAAAAAAACAAAAAAAAAACAGTAAAAAGAAAACAGAAAAATCGAAACTAATATATTTTTAACTGTTTTATCCACTCCTTGGATATACAACTACCAACAACAATAACAACTCAAAGATTTGTACAGTAGTTTAGTTATATTAAAGAAATATTTAAAAAGATTTATATATATATACAAAAATGTTAAAACAAATAAAAAAAGAGAAAAAACCTTTAAAGCGCTTATACTTGAAATATTAAAAAGACTAACAAAAAACTAAGACAAATTTACGAGATAAATTACATTTTTAACTTAAATATAAAAATTAAAACTTTTTTATAAATGTGAGAAAAGTTCTTAAAGAAAAATCAAAGCAAAAAAAAAACTAAACAAATGAGAACACTACAGTTGGCCAGAGCCCGCCATTAAATACCTTACACCACTTTATTCAAAAAGTCATTCATACAATCACGAATATAAGATGCAATCAAAAAAAATAGTCCGATACGATCCGAACCATTTGCAATAGTGCTTGGGCTGGAATACGTTAGTGCACTAAATTTCATCAGAATATGTCAAAAATTGCGACAAGAGTACAAGATGGAGAGACGGGCAGATGGACAGACTATGACTCTAAATCGCTCAGTATAATGAGAGAGTAATATGTTGCATACATCAGCACAAACTTGATACACCCTTGTACCACACTAATGGTGTAAGGCATATAAGGACACAGAAGAGTAAAGCCCAGAAAAAGAAAAAACCGAAAGTTGTATAAAATAATGTAATAAGAAAAAAAAAAACGAATACATTTCTACTTATTTAGTCCGGGCTAAATATTTTATATCCACATCTACCATCTACTAAGCATGACCTAGCTATGGGGAGAATTTCTTGAATTTTTTTAGCATTCTTTAGAAGTTCACGATTGGAATGCAAATACGTTTCCCCTTGGAACGGCATTTCACCGAATCTTATTTCTTTATCTTTTAATTCATCTTCGCTCGTCGTCCTGCATTTTATTATCATAAGTTCATTAAACTTTCTTACGGCTTTCATTAGAGCTCGTCTCTCAGCTCTTTATTTTTCTTACGAGATAATCCTGGCAATTTGATTACAAACAAACGAACATGTACGTAGCACTGATTTACCCATGGTTGGAGAAGCCGCTCACTACCAAACCAAGTTGCTCAGCGTTGTATTGACGCGAAGAATTATTGCTCGAGATCTTTTTCGAAGCCAAAATTAAAAGCTGCTTAAAGCTGATTGGCACATTGTCTGATTTACACATTCGGCACACATGTCGGAGAAGTGTCGGGCACTTTCAAGAGACAGCTAGCAGCAGCAGCAAATCGTTTCTTTTTCTGTTCATCTGCAGCCCTATAAGATTATGTTTGTTTCTAAGCGAAAGCATTCACTAATAATTTTACGGATCTCTACTCTTCGAGCATAACGGGTATTAGCAGACTCTTGCGGAAATCTAAACAAACGATATGATCCTATCTATATCCGGCACTGGCCCCTCTCAAATAAGTTCAACTTGCGTCATGACATACCCCTAGAATCCAATCTAACCAAATGTACCCGCTGCGTGTGTGTGTGTGTGTGTGTCTTGGGTATTGAACAAAATGAAATAATAAACGTAAATAAAATCTTAAGAGAACAAATTAACAAATGTAGTGTGTTTGCCAACTGAATTTTTTTCCTAAAACAAAGAACAAGAATTAAAAAGAACATAAAATTAATGTTAAATTATACATGTTAAAATTTATATAAGATTAAATAATTATGATTAATAAATAAATTCAGAATTTTTTAAATGTTGAGTGTGTTGAAGATGCATAAAAAATTTTCTATGTTAACAAAAATTCCAAAAAGTAAAAAAAAAAAAAAAATAAATGAAAAATAAAAAACAAAACACAAAATATAACCCAAAATACAAAAATAATTATATTAAAATTTAAAATTATAAAAGAAAATATTTATAATTATTTATACACAAGAAAGCTGATAAGAAACATACCTAAAATATATATATACACATCTATTGTATACACTCAAAACAAAATTTATAACAAAAAAGGCAAAAAAAACTAAAACAAAACTTTATGACATTACAAGCTAATAAATGATTTAAAAACAACAACAAAAACAAAAAGGAAAACAAAATGTTATCATCAATAGTTTGCCACCATTCAACGATAGAGAGAGATAGATAGATAGATAGATAGATAGATTGATAGAGAGAGAGAGAGACAGAGATTACGTAAATTATAGTAAAAAAAAAAAAAAAAAAAAAATTATTATTTAAAAAAAATCCAACACATATTCTAAAGGCAATTACATGTCCAAAGCAAAACTACTAAAAAAAGCTACTTGCAACAACCAACCTTAACTTAACTTAACACTAACAATAATAACAAATAGCATCATTTCTCGGTCCAACATTCATTACCCAAAGTTTTTTGGTAAATCGCAGTTCTGTTCATCGCTAAAAACGTAAGATAACCGACTTTTTAAATGGTACTTAATTAACCTTTAATTGACTTTCAACAAAAGTTCATAATAATAACAATTTTCTACTACAAATGTCTGATGGGAGGGGAAAAAATGCCTAAAGTTTTTATTTTATGAACTACAATAGGAAAAAAACATCAATAACCAAGAGAAAGAGCTCATCAAAAAATGTTTGTGTACTTAAGAATAGATTAAAGTATTTATAAGAAGAAAAAAAACTTAAAAAACAGAAAAAAATATATTTAAAATTATTTATAATAATAGAAAAATTTTAATGTGAAAAATCCAAAAAAAAAAAAAAAAAAAACCAATTTAATTTAATGAAATTATTATAATTGAAATTTCAAACGAAACCCACCAATAACATATATATGTAAAGAGATGTAATAATAATTTGTATACACAAGTTTTAAATTTACTTACGTTGAGATTTGAACGATAACAAGAAAAGAAATTCACACTAGTAAAGCATCAGAAAATGTCGGTTATGATCGACCTTCTCTTATACCCTCACCTTATGACACCAGCAATCGATCACTTTTCAACTGACACAAAAGTGAAACGAATACAAACTAAACATATATATATGTATATAGGGTGTCCCAAAGTGTACGCAACATTTCGATTTGCCACCACTTGTGTGGTAAAGGTTTCGCATCTCCTAAAGAAAAAAAAAAACAAACAGCTTAGAATGAGTGAAAGTGGAGCACGCCTTTTCGCTGTTGAACATTATTTCAAAAATAATGAATGTCTGCCTGTCCACAGTTCGCCAATATGGTCGGAATAGAGAACAAACAAAGAAGTGACACTTAATAATTAAAAGCGATAATGTGAATAAATGATAACGAATAAGTGAAAACCATATGAGACAGAATTTGTAGCAACGGTTTAACGTGGGTTACTGCCTGAAAGGCTTAACCCCACGGTGGCCCAAGCCACTTTAAGCGTACTACGCCCCCTGGCGAGTTAGACAATCCCCACAGAGTAGCGGCCTAAACAACACCAGAGTCCAGAACGGTTTATTGTGTATGGAACAATAAACCCCACTCTGGTCAGTGGTGAGGCCTAGCTGCACTCAAATTGTTCTACTTTGGCTAGGAACTTACCAACCACAACCACCACGAGTACTCCCCGAAGGGCCGCACCCAAGCAGTCAGGACTGACAAATTGATCAATGCTCGCTTCCGCCATAAGGCTTCCACGGCGCCGTTGATCAATTACCACCATTACCCGCAGGCATCCGTGACATATGTTCAAAAGTAAAAGTAAGGCAAAAGGGGAAAAAGCCTTTCCGTCAAATCCCTTTTTTAATTTTTGCATGTATTAATTCTCAAGAGAGTTTATTAATTAATAGGCCAAAGGGAAGGCCATCCGTCAATTCCTTTTTGTATAATTAACTCTCTCTTGATATAATTTTAATTGCAACGACTTTATGAACAAAGTCCATCATACACCCGCAGGCATACGTGGCTTTGTAAGGTGAGCCTCCTGACAATGATAACTTTTTTAAAATGCATGATGTATGTGAAAATTATTGAATAAACGTAAAAAAGGAGTGAAAACATTATTGTCGGGCAAGGCCGACCCTTAAATACCCTACACTCATTTTGGTAATAATACACCACAAATTACGCATTATTTCCATGCAATGACATATGCTTCATGCCTACCCGCACATTGGAGGATGCTCAAAGCATCATATGACGTAATCCAAATCGAGCAAATTTAAGTTTCCGTCTTAAAAAAAATATAAATTAGACTTTCTCTCCATATGTATATATGTTAGAGTCAAAAGAAGGACCGGTTTGATTAAAATCCCCTACAACTAATTTCTGTGCTTAACTACCACTGTTGACCAATTTTCATTATAAAATACTAAAAATTCAACATTTTTCCAAAAGGCGTTGAAGGGCTAGTCGTGATAGAACTTATATGGCGCGGGATGAAACTAATAGACCCATATGATCGTCTTACACGATGCTTTAAAGCAAACTTTAGCGTACATATTTTATCCACTATCAGTAAAGCCAGATCTTTATTGGGTTTCATTAAGCGCTGAGCTCGCGAATTTAAAAAACCATACATTGCGAGAAGATTGTGTATGGCGTTAGTTACAGGGGGGTGTGGTCTCCGTTCTGTCGCTACGTTGTGAAGGTGATTGAGTTGACACAAAAACAATTCCTGCTTTTTGCAGGAATAAAGCATCTTGCCAATGGACCCCTTTGTGACCTTACCACCATATGAAAATAAATTATTGTTTATAACGTTACCCTACCTGGAGAAACCCCGGTTTATACTTGGCATCTCATCTTTGCCTAAAATTGGTCAAAGAAGCTATTGCTTCGAATACCCTGTTGACTGAAATCTACATAAATGCTCCAGTTCGACGCTCTAGATTTCATCAGTTTATAAAGCTTTGTCAATGCCGGAGCAATTCACCCCATTTAGGTTGCTTAGCAAGAATTAAAATGAGGCTCACAATTTAATTGATATATCTGATTCAATGCTAG